CGCTGATTACAGAACCGGCTTTCTGACAAGATGCGCGTTAAATATCGCATGCGATTAATCGTGCAGCCCTAGTTATTTATGCTTTCTGTTTTCATTTTAATTTTAGTTAACGTTTTAGGAATTATGTTGTGTTTTTATTATTTTTATTAGTTTTTTATATTTCTATAATATTTCATTTTTATTTCAGTTTTAGTCATTTTAGATTATTAAATTAGAAATCAGAAATTCTTTGGCAACTAGCCGAAATTAAGATATTGTTTTAATTTATTTCTGCTAAAATGAATTTCATTTTAATTTGTCTGTCTCTCTCTCTCTCTCTGTTTGTGTATGTGTGTGTGTGTGTGTATAGTTTTAGGTAAGTATAAGTACCCTGGACTGTACTGCTATTTTTCAGTTTTAGTTTTAGTAAAGTCTGTTGTACAGCATTGCTTTTTTAGGGCATTTTACATTGGTTTCACAGTGAATCTAAATGCGCAGTGTAACATAGATATAGTAAATCCCCATGAAGTGAAATCAGAAGTTAAATCATCATCAACATCCTTTATCAGTCATCATGCATGTTAGCAACAAATTCATTTAAGTTCTTTACCACTCTCTTGCTCGTATCTCTTGCTTGAACATTAAATCCAGGCAGGAAAAAGAAACGTCAGACCATCATTATGGAAATCGAAAACATGGAGGCCTGAAACGGGGGGTCTGTTGAGGGGAGCACAGCCCATCTGAGCCTGTCAGTTCCAAATGTGCGGTTCCAGCTTACATAACACACCTGCAGCGGCCCAAATCCTGTCCATGTCTCTTGTTTTTGGATGGCCCCTCTCTCCCCTCTCAGCTCCTACTGAGGGTGAAGCACAGGGGTGCCTCAGCTCAGTCATACCTAAACGCAGCTGCACCATTCCCAAATAAGGCTCTGGTTTCATCGAGAATGCTCTGGGTTGCATTTTCACTTTAGACAAAAAAGAAGGCGATCTCGACATTTTGTTTGTCTTTAGATAAGCTGCTTCTTTTGTACATGTGCACACTTAGAAGAATAGAAATACACATGTAAAATACTTGAAAATATTAGGCACTGGGAGAGATAACACAACAATTGGTAGACTTATGTCAGCGGGTAACAATTTAGCTCTTTTTTTCACAAAAACTATAAAGCAGCCCAACTGTTTTCAGCATTGATAATAATAAGAAATGTTTCCTGAGCAGCAAATCAGCGTATTAGAATGATTTCTGAAGGATCATGTGACACTGAAGACTGGAGTTATGATGCTGAAAATTTGCCATCACAGAAATAAATGACTTTTCAATGTATATCACAGCCTTGGTGAGTGTAAGAGAATTAAATTAAGCATTAAAAATCATTGAGCATTTATTTATTTATTGTGCTTTTATGGCCATTAATTTATAAAATAGACATTTTATATTTTTGACCTTTTTATGCTTCATGAATTGGTTCAAACTGTCCATTTTGGTTAATTGGTTCAAAACTTTGATTCAGTGTTTTGTTTTGTGTCATGACTTAAATGCGTTTACAGAACATATTTTTCATATATTACAATGTGCTATGAAAACATAATGAGGTAAATGTTGCTGTTTATTAGTATGTTGTTGTTTAGATTGCTGCATATTGCTCAATTATATTGTTATATTGCTTCAAAATATTAAATATTATTCTCTCGTGTTTATGTAGTGTGGAAAACATGACTTGATTATATTGAAGTAGATTTTTACTGTATTTTAATTCTTGCATTAGACTTCATTGGCTGTTTGTTTGAAATGATGGTTCCTTTGGTTGGTCAAGATAATATTCTTTTTATTTTTTGGATCGTCTTGCTGTAGTTGTAAGTAGTAAGAGTCCTTATCGTGTCTCTATAATATCCCTTGTTTCTTTTCCACTGCAGCCTGAAGAGTTTGAAGCCGTCCACTCCCACACCTTCCGGCTGAAGACGTTCAAGAAGGGGAGGCACTGTGGCGTGTGCAAGCAGACTGTAAACAATGAGGGGCTCATCTGCAGAGGTCAGTCCAGGGGAGGGTGGACCGCCTGGGGGGTGTCTTCCACTGCCCGTCCCAGCATCTGATGAGAGCTAATGGATAAAGGTTGAGATGTTTGTGAGGGGTGGCAGCTGCTCCCACTGACCAGTCAGTCTGTCCCTCTAATGAAACATAATCATTAACCCGATTGGGTCACTGAGAGAGAATGTGTGGCGTTACAGACAGGGCTTGTACCGCAGAAAGCCTGCAATGGCCGCTGGAAATTACATCACCGCCTGTGTGACTTCAGAGAGTGAAAAAGCAACACAAGGTTCCCATTACGGCAGGATGGTTGGGGGGATATTCATCTGATTTGAGTCCTGCTGTGGTGAAGCTTCAGCCGGAATGGAATGTCAGCTTCCATCATGGGAGGTCTAGAAGTTAAAGCATGGTTTACGCCTGGCGTTTCTGCACTAGAGCCAGGATTCCCGCCAAAAGTGAAGTCATCACCAGGGCCGTTTCTATAGGCATCTGTCATCATTAACGCACCCTCATGTCGTTCAAAACCTGTATGACTTTCTTCTGTGGAACATAAAAGAAGATATTTATAAGAATGTTGGTGAGTTTCAGCTCCCATTGACTTCTATTGTATGGTCAAAAATGTAATGGAAGTCAATGGCAATGGAAACTGTTTGGTTACCAACATGCTTCAAAATATCTTTCTTTGTGTTCCACAGAAGACAGAAAGTCATGTAGGTTTGGAATGACATGAGGTTGCGTTAATTATGACAGAGTGTTCAGTTTTGGGTAGAGTATCCCTTTAAAATAATGAAACTGTATCAAACAATGTGTATTAAGTACATTTAAGTGGGTGAATATTAGCACAAACAAATATGGATTCTTTTCAGATTTTATCAGAAAGACATGTTCAGAAATACACATATTTATTGTATATTGCATAATGTTTAAATGAATGACACCATCAGCAAAATAATAATGTGATATAGTGATGATTTGTATATTAGTATAGTAAAATGATGATTTCTACAACCAAATCCTTGCTTTAGTATTAAAAAAAACGAATACAAAATTTGGCAGGAAAATATAAGATATTCTGTTCAAATGTGGATTTAAGGGACATAGATCTTGGTCTCCTATGAAATATTCTGAATAACATATCATTATTTTAATTAATTGAATGAATCACTAGTTTTTTTAATTGAATTATACTCTAAAATGTTTCAAACATACTAGGGATGTCATTAAAACCTTTATTTTATTTACATAATTAAGCCGCAAGATCTGATTAAACAGTTCAAATTTATGTAATAAAAGACAATGAAATAAAACATTTTTTTTTCGTAATGTATTCATTTACTTAAATTTATTTAATCCAGAAAATGAAACAATGTAATGCAGACATGGCCTAATGTGTTTATTGTATATTTATTTTTCACTTAATACATCTTGAGATTAGTATTATTTAAAAATACAAGCATGGATCTATAAGGATCTTGTTGAAATGGTCAGAAACGGCCCTGGTCATCGCGATGCATTTGATAGTACCTTATTTTTGTCAGTCTGCACAAAAGTCTTTTCTATAATTAAGTATTAATGATCTTCCATTGACAGACTGGAACTTTATCTCCTTGTTTTGTCCTATCCACTGATGAATTACTCAACCTTGACCATGTTCTTCTGCTGAATGGTTAGAGTTAGGACATACTCTATGCTCATATAGGGTCAAAGATCATGGTAAAATGCATCCAAGCTTAGAAATACAGTATAAAGACGGTGTTCATCTGGTTTGCTGGGCTTCTCCATTTCTCCACTGCACCGCTTTATTATCATCTGTTACATAAAACAGAGCAGTGCCAGCAGAAACTCTGGTATCAAGAAGAGATTTGCAGTTAAACTTTTGTCAGTGCCAATAGCTGCAAAAGCTCTGGCAGGATCAGAGACATCTGATGCTCACCGACGGCAGAAACCTTAAGATCCAGAACAAGTCCTGTACAAGACTTGGCATGTTTCAGGTTCAATACACATTAAAGTTTAAATTTAAAATAAAAAGAGACTTTAAGCAACAACTTTCAGGCAAAAATTGAGCAATCTCCAGTAGGGTTGTGACGGTGAGGAAATTTTCCCACCGGTTAATCGATGTGTGACAACACCGGTAATACCGGTATCACTGCGGGGGCGTTCCCTTTTTCCTCGCTTTCGTTCGCTTTTAAATAGCTTGAAAAAGCGGCGTGAGCATTTTACTTTCACTTTCAAATAGCGGCAATTCGGAGTAAAGCAATTGTTCGTTTTTAGTTAGTTTTAATTTTCCCTCTTTTCCTCGCTTTCGAATTAGCGGCAGTTAGGCGTCAATTGCTTGAATGCAACAACAAAATACAACGTCAAACTCACTTTAGCGTATATATAAAACATAACTTTTATTAAACAAAACAAATAAAAATGCACCATGCTATAGGGCAGGCTATGCCTAATATAAAATTACAAATAACTTACATAAAGTTTAAATGTACAAAACTGGAAACAAGTAAACATGTATAATATATAACCAAATAAATAAGAAACGTAGAATGTTTATTAGCAAAACAAGTAAGAAAGCTTGGAGGCACGGCATACACCTTGATGTCAAATAAAATAAATAAATGACACAAAGTTTAAATAAAGTAAAAATCAGCAAACAATGTGGAACCAATTAAATAAGAAACGAATGTTTAAAAAAA